TTCCGCAGAAGATGGATTGTCATTTTGCCATCCCCTGCGAGAGGTGGGACGACTGAGTCGCAGAGCGTAATGACGTATGATCTGTGTAGATCATAAACGGCTTGAAGCCGAGCAGGTGGGCCCTGAACTTGACAAGTGCATACTTCATCGCAAGTAGCTTCTTGTCTTGAATTAGTTCTTCTCTGCAGGTTTGAGCTGTCGAGACTCGAACGCGATCACCCGATCTCGCCCCTCGGCGTCTGCTTGCAGCGGTGCACAGCCGATGGCAAAGTCCTAAGCGTCACAGATGACGCTGAAAGGACGATCAGGGTCTGGTAGTGCCGGTATTGGTGAATGCCGGAGGCTGTCTTTGACCCCGTCAAAAGCCTCCTGATATTCGGTGTTCCAACAACATTCCACATTCTTTTTAAAGGAGATTGGATAATGGCCAGGCCATTTCTGCGTATTTACGCTGTACTTGTGCAAGTAGTTGGCAAGACCAAACCACTTACGCAAGTCTTTCTAGTTCTTTGGAACCGGCCAGTCTACAATGACCTTGACCTTAGCGGGATCTGCTCGAAGGCCTCGCTACCCAATGAAGCACCCTAGAAAGGGAATCTTTACTGCGCCAAAGATGCACTTGTCTGCATTGGCGTCCAGTTTGTTAGTACGCATGCAATCGAGCACCGCTCTTAGATGGACGATGTGGTTCTCCTCATCCGTCCTCCCGTGCTCCGCACGACTGTGGACGAGATTTTGTCGAAGTATATCTGCATATGCCCGATGGGGCCTAAACAATTGCGTCACAAGACGATTCACTCGGAGTGTTCGCCGCTGTCAGCGTAATATCACTCGCCCCCATGATAAATAATATACATCGAATAAGTCGAGTGCATTGCACTTTGTACATCTAACCATGTTTTGCTGGAGAGCATCCTTCCTTGAATTGAAGTTGGCATCTGTGCCGGAATAATGGCGGCGTTGAGCTCATTGTAAGCATGAACGATACGCCACTTGCCGCTCGGATTCAGGACGCAAAACGTGGGTGACGAACGGGGAGACTTGCTCGAAAATCGGCGATGCACCATGGATTTGGCAAACTCAAATCTGAAATGGCACACTACGCGCACGTCCACTTCCTTGTGGCTTAGCTGTAGAGTAGACAGCGAGGAAAGTTTCCGGTGCTGTTGCACCCATCACCCACAGAGCTCCCCATCATCTGCAGCGTTTTGCTAGGTGTGATCACCACATGAATAGTCTGCGTTGCGGAAACAGGAGCGCCTCGTTTTTGAGCTCGAAGTCGAGCGCGGTACCGATTTATTTGGAATTCCTGTGATACCAAAAAGCAGCTCGGAGAGCTTCCCGTTGATCAAGCTCAGCTTGTGTAGTGGCCGTACGTAGACGTCTAACCAATGAGTGATCGCGTCTTTCGCTTCATTAGCGAGATCAGCCGAGCGGAAGCTGTACTCCACACGAGGGTATGAGATTGAACTTGGATTTGAGCGCATGAGAGCCGCCCTTTGGTAGCCTCCCATTGCTGCTCCTGTGCCTTGTTTAGGCGATTAGTAATGATATCACCTTCCCCGGAAGCCGAGAGATTGAGAAACGGACATCGTGTCCGCAGAGTTTGAGCTAGGCTCACGTCGCGCCGTTGGCGCACTTCATCTTTCTCGTCATCTCATGCTGGAAAAGAAGTGTCCGACTTGTAGTCGGTATCCTCCAACTCCTCGGCGAGGAAATCCGTCGCCCGGGGCGAGCTGTGTTGCGCTCAGTTGCCGAGGGCTTGAGATATTCTTCCCGTGAAGCCGCGGACGTACTGCCTGGAGTTGCATCGCGTGCAGAAGAAGAAGGGCTTTGCCCGCGGGAGCCCTCGCTACCAGCTAGGTTGGGTGTTTATGTCTCGTGGACACAAGGCTCATGAACGGAGAACGCTTTCAGTTGCTCTTAGAAATGTTCAGACACGCGAGCCTCGTATGAGGTGACCGTTAAATGTGATATTCACAATTTTAATGGGGGAGGGTATTACGGGGTTACATGTACCCTTGCATGAAAGGGGCGGGTCGCACAAGCTTGTGAGATCGTGTATATATATGTTTTACACAAATTAGTATAATCACACAGTGGTGTGGCTACACCGGAACAAGAAGCCACCACGTGGTAGGATTGCCAGTAGTAATGCATATTACTATATTAATTAGGTTTTTGTAAGAGGGTGCCCTAAAGTGTTCACAAACAGTCCCTCTAACACAACACACACGCTTGTGCGACGAGAAAGCGATGCTTGACGTGGAGGGAGAAGGACAGTCCCGACTTGGAGAGAAGAAAAACGGCTTAATATCTTAAAAGTAAATTTGCAGCTGAATTAATAATGAGTTGTGGTTCCTAGCTACATGCAAAACACCTCAAGGGCTCATAGAGGTTTAAA